TCCGGTGTACCCGGTCACACACATGCACAATCGAAGTAGACATAGCCACCACACAATGAAGACAAATTTGCACACCAGCCGAAGCTAATGGCACCACCCGATCGTGCCCAAGCCACTGCAAGGTCGATCGAGTGGTTGTAATGTATCTGAAAATACTGTCACTTCAACCTCCCTGCTGTGTCACAACTGACGACGAGACTGGAGAAGGTCAATGGTAGTAGGATTAGACGTATCAGGCACTTGGCCAGGATCACAGCGCATTCCTTTGATATCAAGGACACGTTTAGCCGATTGCCACATGGTGACATCGTGAGAGCAGTTGAGCGGTTGCTGGACTACCACGAGAAGAAAGATCGTGATTTCGTCAGAGTGCATACAAGGGGGGGACAGGAGCATCATTTGGGATGACAACCGGAGCGGACCACTGGAGGAAGGTGGACTTCGAAGACCTGAGGAAGTCTGTTGCGATAGATTTGCAGCACACCTACTGTTACATGCTGCGCCTGCACACACAGGCCATTTTCCAGGCCCTGCGCCCTTCAGCCAAAAAGCCTAGATTTCAGCCTGAAAACAGGGGCCTACAGTCCCTGTGTCGTTTCAAACTAAAAATGGCAAGAGCCTTTTTAGCCTGAAACGAAGGGCTATTTTCGGTCAGAACAATCGGCCCTGAAACTCAGGCACCGAACCAGGGTTTCGGGAACAGGCTATTCGTAGCCTGTATCCACGCCAGCCTCAGCAGATGCTGCAGCGCCAGCCCCTGGCACACTTCGGCATTGGCAAGAGCAGCCTCCTCAGTCTGGCTGGCCCTTCAGGCAGTCAGGAGGCAGGCCGTGGATTGGCAAGAGCAACCTCCTCGGCCTGGCTGGCCCTTCAGGCAGTCAGGAGGCAGGCCGTGGATTGGCAAGAGCAGCCTCCTCGGCCTGGCTGGCCCTTCAGGCAGTCAGGAGGCAGGCTGTGGAAGTATATAAGTACCCCCCCAGGCCCTTCACGATTCATTATTCAGGAGGCAGTAGTCTTCAGGATTCGGGAGCGGCACTCTGGAGGGAGCGCTGCGTTGTAGTAGTGGTAGCGTTAGCTTGTAGTCTTCAGCGCTGGGCGCAGTAGGTAGCTGTAGTCTCCAGCGTTGGGCCACATATCTAGGATAGTGTTAGAGAGAGAGAGAGAGAGAGAGTTTGTGCGGAGGCCAGGAGTACTTACCTGCAGCGCCGTTGCTCCAGCTTCGTCTTCGAGGTACCTGCAGCACAACGCCCACATCACAGGTTAGTATCTGGTTCGTAACAGTGAGAGAGAGAGTCTTCTYCTTCCTCTTCTCAGTCCACCATCTTCTTCTCTCCCTCTCAACATCTGACTTCACTGCATCTGCAGACTGCGAGAGAAGAGAGACAGAGCTTGGTGACATTGGATCCAGACTCGACTTTTGGGGACTTCAGACATGGCAATGAGGGATTATTTGGGATTGGTGACCAAGACTTGGTGTTAACGACATTCCCATCACTCTCCCTCCGTTCGTYTGTTCCCTACCTCTTCGTCTGTGTATGTCTGCACCTGGCGCTTCCTTCCTGTGTACAGCGCCAGGCTCCCTCACACTCGGTGATGGATATGATGCATGTTTGGTCTGAGTTCAAACATTGATTGGACTCGTTATCATGACTCTAGCATTCGCTACTTGTTATTACGTGAGTGAGGTAAGTCCCTGTCAGGTCAGTCCTTGTATCAAAGTCTTCCCTGCGCTATTCAGCACCTTTTGTATGTATGAGAATGAACATTGTTTGTCGAGATTCTACTCGCACCGCATTGTCCATTCTGTCCTTTTCATCACACTGCAGATCCTCGTTTATTACGTACATTGCATATCTGTGCATGTAACACCTACACATACGCAACAACGGTATTACTTAGGCAAGATGTGGGTCCCCATGCGAAAAAGCACCAGCCCCCCTCCGGCATGCATCTTGTGTACGTATGCCGAGGTAAATGTTCCTGCGCAGTCTGGGCCAGTATGTTGCCGTCAAGCGTTCGGAGTAAGGTTAAAGGACGGCGTGATTCTGGTGGTTGCCTCATTGTCAGGAGAAAGACTGGACTGGGTGTTGCGGCATTTCGAACGCTGCTACCCTCGTAACCTTTGTTTGAAACGTACGGATGACGGGACCGGGAATTTGGATTTCCTCTGGTGTGAAGTGAGGTGCACGCGCAGTTACCCATATTTGGGCTACGTACAAATGTGACAGGCTCGGAATGAGGAGAGCATATGGACTTCAGGAGATACGGAGTTTCAAACAGAACAATTATTCCACTCCTGGGGAAGCAAGCAACAAAAGAGTGCTGCAATTACCAGCTACTTGCATCGAATCGACAGGAACACCTCCATTCACAGTGAGATCCCAGAGAGAGAGAGTACTGTCACTCAAACGCGAATTGAGGCTGAAATACATCCCAGCAAGCTTCTTCGAAAGAGTGTTACGGAGGTTTGCATTCAGAAGGGACACGGTGTGGACGCAGACGTTTGAACATCTGACCGGATGGCGAGGTGGGAGTAATATTACCTAACTACTAGGCGATTGATCGACTCGGAAAAATGGATGAACAGCGTTCGGTACGAAAAAATTGGCCGTACCCAAGAGCCTAGCTCAGTGGGTACACCCATGAACTGTTGAAATACAGACCTGTGTTCGAATCCCGATGATGGAACTTGACGAATAAAACCAACTACTAATGAATTGCTTGGGGCCGGTCAGCTCAATGGTAATATCTCAAGGCCGTCGTCCTTTTTAAGGAAAAAATAAAAATAAAAAAAATGGCCGTAATGATGTATTTTACTATTTTGCTCAATGCATGATGTCGAAGTTACCCAGTAGTAGTATAGCTACAGTCTTCCCCCGAATACAACGGGCGGTCATTATAGCTGAATTTAGACTGAAAGATGCCCCAAATTCAGATATAATGACCGTGCATTGTATTCAGGGGAAGACTGTAGTGCAGGAGTGTTTTGATGCAACCGGCAGGTTTTGATTCGTGTTCTTTGGTTTGGTGGATGCCGTAGTTCTTTGACTCCCTCGCAATTGCGTGATAGAGCTACGTCTGGAGGAGTCTCCGGGTTTGATTCTGCCGGATTTGTACCTTCTTCTGACGCGTATGTTCGGACAGCGCGTTTGGTACCATACAATGGAAAGTCTGTCGAGTTCTCTGTAGTCGTAGTCTGCGCAGGAGGAGTCCGTTGAGCCCGCGTTGACACCTTCGACCCGTCGTCTTTGGTCTGGCAGACACTCTACTTCTCACTGGTCCTAGTTTTTTTTTTTTTTTGTTTTTTTTTTTTGTTTTTTTTTTTGTATTAGTAGTTTGGCCAAACTAGACATGTGGTAGGATTTGTACTGTTGTCGGATATGCGTTTGTTCCTTTGAACGGATACGTGGGGCAGGCCCTAAGCGGACCGGGCACCAGGCCGTACCGTTCTCATAACCTGTCGTTTCGATTAGGGTATACCCGGACAGGTTCGGGAACTGGGCCTGGTACCGGGTCAGACGTCTTTGTCCTCTTACGGTACGCCTGCTTCCGCTTAGTACGCGGACGGTCTGTGGTATGTTTGGAGGATCTTGTGCGTGCGGAATGTTTTAAGGTTTGTACCGTAACTTTCGCGGATTTCGAGGATGTGTAATCACACTCGTCTTGTCTTGTATTGAGTTGCTTGACTTGACTTGACCATCTCTACTTTGTATCACACAGTCATATGACACTACCAGAGTGGACAGGGACCACTTGCCCAGCCGGGCAAAAAAACAAATTGTAAAATAAATTAAATAATATAAAAAAAGTAATTACTAATTAGTAATTACTTTATTTTTATTTAAATTTTGGTAACGAATTTCGATGTGACCCTGAGGGCCTGAGGCATAGTTTTTTTTCACATTTTTTTCTTTTGCTGGGGCCTTTTTTTGTCCTTGCACGGCCGGGCCACCCGGGCAAACAACGTGACCCGGGTAGCCTGGCTGGTAGCCTAGGTATATGGGTCTCTTATGGGCAGCAATTGTATGCTATAAACTAGTATAACGCGCTAACAGCGGCCTGGTCTTTTTTTTTTTTTTTTTTGTCCCTTAGTGCAACACGTACACCGATATCCAAAGGCAGGATGACACCTGGAGTCAGGTCCCATTAGCAAAGATAATTGGATTAAATTCCTGAATCTGGATGTGTTTTGCTCAGAGATGCAGAAAAGCAGATCAATCGCAATTTTCTGCATCTTTCCACATGCAAGTCCAGATTCAGGAATTAAATCCAATCCTCTGTGCTAATGGGACTAGGCCCCTGGTGTTGCTGAATATGCAGCTGTAGCTGTCACAATTACAAAGTTTTTCTACAGCTAAAGAATAAGCAGGTTCTGGTACCATCACAATCCAATCGATGAAAATAAGGTTCGTATATACGTTTTATAAATTTATATTCAATTAATTTTTCCGCACCTCTAAGAAGCTCTTAAACCCGAAGCAGTCCGAAAAACAATCTCAATGAAGTAAACCGGGAGCAGGTCCACTAAAATGGAGCAGAAGACAGAAGACATGGAAATCGTCAATGTAAATTGGGGTGCAATTTCATGACGTGACACAATAATCTGAGCTTTAACAGAGCCTGCTATACACCCATAGAGTTGGATACGCTGCTTCCAGAGTTTCACATCTCTCACGCAATTTATTCTCTCTCTCTCTCTCTCTCTCTCTCTCTCTCTCTCTCTCTCTCTCTCTCTCTC